AGGGGACACATGTTGATGTAGAAGAGACATGAAGAAGAGGGGACACATGTTGATGTAGAAGAGACATGAAGAAGAGGGGACACGTGTTGATGTAGAAGAGACATGGAGAAGAGGGGACACGTGTTGATGTAGAAGAGACATGAAGAAGAGGGGACACATGTTGATGTAGAAGAGACATGAAGAAGAGGGGACACATGTTGATGTAGAAGAGACATGAAGAAGAGGGGACACGTGTTGATGTAGAAGAGACATGGAGAAGAGGGGACACGTGTTGATGTAGAAAAGACATGAAGAAGAGGGGACACGTGTTGATGTAGAAGAGACATGAAAAAGTGGATTTTGCATAATAGGTGACCTTTAAAATGTGCAAAATATACACAATAATCTGCATATTCACCATGTTGGGGGAATGGCCTGAAATATAATATAATGTAAAATAATCGTATTTGTTGCAGGGCAGCAGCGATCATGATGCACACCGGCCCCGTGGTGGCGCTACAGGTGGAGAAGTCTGCAGCGAGGCTCCACGGCCTCGAGGCTCTGCTGAACACAGGTGAGTAACCAAACACTATGAAGAGTTTTTATATTCCTGCTGGTCATGAGTCTTTAAATTAAAACCTTTGCTTGCTCGCGAAGACGATCAAAGCCAGACTAAACCCAGCGGAGAGACTCTGCTGCTGCAGGGAGGAAACCGGAGGCGCAGAGAACAGCTGATGCAGAAAAACAGACAGCTGTTCCGATCCAACCCAAACATGACCGGTGAGACAGAAATACATTTATCTCCTATAACATGTACAAAAATATGTTTATTTCACTAACTTTGTCTGTTTGTGTCTGCAGATTTCTCTAGAAGTTCACCAACAGCTAGCATTAGCCTCATTAACATATTTAAACATGACATCATTGACTTGTGTTTTACCCACCACACAAGTGTATTTCTAATTTTGTCTTTGTTTCTTCAGATGTTTCCCCTGAAGATGAAGCTGTTGTGAGAGGAAACAACATGGCTGCTGTCTCCAGTGTGAACCTCTGTGCTCCTGATGTGAGATTTCTCTAGATTTATCAGACTTTTTCCGTAAAATTCAAACACAATGTGCTCAATATTTGACTTTGTAATGTTTAAATTGACCAGAAAACATGCTAAAATGACTGTGGTAATATTAAAAAGTGAATTTAGAGTGATTTCCTAGTCTTCCTTTTCTTTCATTTTTAAAAAAAAATCAATATAAATAAGAGTGTGAGCCAAATAAAGATGAATGCATTATCTGACGTCATTAAATACGTGTTTTCTCAGGCGTATCACAGGGAGTATTTGACCCTCCCGACCCCTAAGTCCTCTCAGGAGAAGCAGAGGTCTGACTCCGTTCTGCAAACCTTCACCGTGTCTCTGAAACCTGCAGAGAGCAGCAGGACCTGCATGGTGAGGATCATTATCTAATAGAGAGTCTACAAATCCAGTAATATTGGGGTAAACTTGTGCAATAATGCTTGTCACAGAAAGTTACATCGCTCTAAGAGTAATTTACCTCAATAATTGAATGTATGACATGATGACCACCACGGAGACACAGGAGGTCTTTCCTCCCAGTGGCCATCAAACTCTTCACCCTTCAGTAAAGGGAACTGAGACATTGCACACCACCACCACCACCACTGTATATGTGCAATATTATTATTAATGTTTGATAAATAACGTGCAATTACGTAACTACCACTAGTTTTTTTGCACTACTAAATACTGTTAATATGTACATTAATTATGTGACCATCTATGTTTCCTGTAGTTATTGAATTGACTGCACTGTTAGTGTACAGTTGTATTATTATTGTGCTGCTGCGTTTATTGTATTCTTGTAACTCTGGCACAACAATTTCCTTCGGGTCTTATCTTATGTTCTGCTGTATTTCCCTGTCTATCCCCTCCTGTAGCGCCAGGCTCTGTCCCAGGAGAACCTGTGTGTGGACAGGGACAGCGACCGACAGCACCCCCTGCTGGACGGGAGGCAGACGGCTCTGAGAAACCTCCCCTCCTTCCCTCTGAGGTCCTGTGTTTCCACTGACCTGCTCTCAGAGAGACAGCAGGGGGTCCGCAGCAGCAGCAGCAGCAGCAGCAGTGCCGGCGTCTGGAGGAACCCTTTCCCCCAGAACCAGTTCCCCCAGAACCAGACCCCCACTCCCTCCTCTCAGCCGGTCCGCATCGACATCCCCCTCCCCCGAACCGTCAGTTCCAGACCTCCTCTCACCTCCTTCCTGCAGGGGAGCAGAGTCAGAGTCAGTGATGGAAGCCTCCAGAGACCCTCCTCCAATAGACCCCAGGTCAGCATCCCCTTGGCCTGTTTGTCTTGTGTCTTAATTTCTCTTATTTACATTGCCTTGTTTTCAATGCAAATCATTTCTCAAATTCGGATCAATAAAGTACTTATCTATCTATCTATCTATCTATCTATCTACCTACCTATCTACCTATCTACCTATCTACCTACCTATCTATCTATCTACCTATCTATCTACCTACCTATCTATCTATCTACCTATCTACCTATCTATCTACCTATCTATCTATCTACCTATCTATCTATCTATCTACCTACCTATCTATCTATCTACCTATCTACCTATCTATCTACCTATCTATCTATCTACCTACCTATCTATCTATCTACCTATCTATCTATCTATCTACCTATCTATCTACCTATCTACCTATCTATCTACCTATCTACCTATCTACCTATCTACCTACCTATCAATAAACCCCAGGTCAGCATCCCCTCCTCTAATAAACACCAGGTCAAGTAACATTTAATCAAGTACTGTACTTAAAGGTGGGGTAGGTAACTCACTTCAGAAACACTTTTTGTTATATTCCATGAATGCTCTTAACATCCCGATAGCAATGAATACATTAAATGCTTTGACAAAAAATCCATACAAAAATGTCATCTGTGGAAGCCGTGGCGCTGTAAAAAGCACGACCAATCATCTGAAGTAACTGGATGGCCTACCTGCCTGTCAGCCTTCCATCTGGGCACAAACTTATCTCGTGCCCTCATTGGTCATGTGCGCGTTCCTGTGTGTTGGAGGAGGGGCTCTATAAGGAAGTCTGAAGGAAGGGGAAGATTTTTTTCGGCTGCGTATTTTCAGATTCTAGCGCACTCGACTGGTTTCTCCAAAATGACCTACCCTGCCTTTAACCTCTTAAACGCGGGGCCTATTTTTCAGGCGTCAGGCTCGAAAATGACATGCCCCGATTGAATGAGTATATCTTCACAACTAAAAGCGGTGTATGAATAATCTTGTTATCAAAGCAATGCTACACCTGTGAGTTGGCTGTAGAAGTGTCAGAATCAATATAGATGTTGCTGTGTCAGAGTAAATTCAGATTGAACATAGTAAACAAATATGTAATGTATGTTTCAATGTTTTGCTGCAAGATCTGAGTACTCATCCAAACCTCTGCAGGTCAGCATCTCCCCCACCAAACACGTCTCCTTCCAGGACCCCCCTGCCTGGAAAAGGGAGGCGCAGGAGAAGCATGCGTCGATGCAGCAGGAAGTGCAGGATCTGCAGGGGAAGGAGCGTCGCATGGCGGAGGAAAGCGCCCGTCTGACGAGGCTCAGTGTGGAGGCTCAGTTCCAGAAGAGGCTGCAGGAGAGAGAGGAGGAAGAAGAGGAGGAAGAGGAGGAGGAGATGATGCTGACCTTACAGCAGCTGGAGAGGAGGGCACAGGTATGAACTCAAAGCATTCTGGGAAATGTAGGCTAAGTCAAGAAGATGACATGTTATGAAAAGTGTTGTTAAATATCAGGATCAGATGATTTATACAAATGTATATAAATAACTGCTTTATGCATTTGTGATTGGGATTCAAATAGCTTTAGTGTTTTGGTGCAGACAGTATACGTCAGAGGAAGAGGAATACAACTGCAAAAATAAGAGCAAATATATATGTTTTAAATACAAGAAAAACTTTTGAATTAAAAAAAAAAATGTGTTGAAAATAAATACCTTTCTTTTTAAATATATTTACGTATTATTATGAATAGCAACCATAATAACACATTGCATTTAAATAGCATTTTTCTAAATACTCGAATGCACCAGTCCAAAACCTCCCTCATTAATAAGGCAATCATAGCATGATGCATTACTAGATCTAAATGTATTACAATTGTAAATCCTGACATGTTGCACACTTCTTCTCCACACTGTCAGAGAATCATTTCCATACTTCCATACCTTTCGCCCTCTGACGCAGATGACCAGCCGCTATCTCCCGTAAGGAGGGGCTGCCCTAGAAAGTTGTTGATGTTACCAGTTTGTGACCGGGCAACTTTGGATCAGATAGTTATTGTTGTGGGACACATCCTTCTCGGGGTGGAGATGACCTCGAGCCATAAGCGACAACAAAAGTGATTCAATGTCCTCAGCTGTTTAGTCTCTCTATTGAAGAATGTTGATTATTCTCTCAGAACTAGTTAAACCCTGGAGCTACAGGAGGGCTCTTCAGAATTGATTGTGGCATCTTAGCCGTGTGGTCAACTCGTGACCCGTGACATGTCTCGTGAATTCTCCGGCCGAAGCTCCAAATAAACCGTCAGTGTTTGCCATCAAAGCTCCAGCTCTCCTCGTGTCTCTCTGAGTCCTGACTCCCATTGCTTCAGAAGTTTCCCACACTCACACTATTTGTATGCACCAAATAAAGCAAATTCCAAACCCATTCTGATTCGGATCCAAGCACTCAAACATATGCTTCTCCCAATCTCACTGAGACGGGTTATGTGTTATAATATATAACAAAGGAAAACACCCTAATGTGTGTCCCACTTCCTCGCTACCTGTAGAGACATTAGAACGATTAAGCCGATGTTAAAAAAGCCACAATAACCTTTAATTATCTATTTCTATATTTAGAGCAAGCAGCTTTCTGCAGTAACCGCTGAACTGAAAGAGTCTGCAGGAAGTCGTCTCGCCCAGAAGGAAGACAAGACAAAGACGGGTAAATATTCATTTAATTTATTCAGAAGAGTTTTATCAAGGCTTTATCGTACAGTGCAACATTTTAATGCTTTTTTGCAGAACTAAAGAACGCATCGAGTCGAGACGTTGACAACGTGGCAGCGAAACAGTGAGTTTAAACTTTTTTGGCATTTAATGAAAGCTAACAGTTAATGCAGAATTTCTACTCAAGCACAAGTTATATCACATCAAAAACTATTTTGATAATAGTTTAAAGAGTACATTTTCATGCAGAAATGTCATACAATGTCATTTTGAGCCTCTTAAATATTAAGATTTGCTTCATTTTTAAGCTTTAACGTCATATTTAAATGAATATATTGACAAAACAAGGCATTTGAGAAACTGAACTGGACTTCTTTACCATTTCATAGACATTCAATGCGGAAAATAACCATCAGATTAATGTAAAATGAAACTAATCTCACACCAAACTCCTAAATTCAGTCTAATCTACTTTTCCGTAGACATTATAGCGTTTTAATCTTGATCCCTGAGTAAAACACGAACTATAAGTATATTTTAAAGACAGTACAGGCTCCCGTTTGTGTCCCCTTGCATGACGTGACTCCCCATAAATAAATTCAAGTATTCCCCTCTGATATATTTCTGTTTACTCTCAGGAACCAGGAGGAAGTGAAGCGAGCGCCGGCTCCGGAGCAGCTCACCTTTAAGGAGCGCCAGCGGCTCTTCTCTCTGGCCTCCAGCGCGTAAACCAAGGTTTCAGAATGTAAACAGAAACCTCACCAGAAACAGAACAGTCCTAACGTGATGAGCTAAGAGACAATTATAACACCCTATAATATTTACTGTAGAAATGTTTGTATTAGCTGCTGGGTGTAATATTGCTGAATTGTTATCACCTGTTTAAACTGTATTCCTGTATTGTCTTATTCTTAGATAATAAAGTCTTTATTTAGTAAAATGATTCAGGCACTTATTGCACTTTTTAATGATTATTAAGGCGAGACACTACAGGTTTTTGACTATTGCATCTATAACGTCTTCTTTGAGACTAGAACATTCAGGAGTTTATTCACCTAACTTTTTCTGTTTGTGACCCGCTCTATCGATATCAGTCGGATGTCGCATTAATAGATCATCTTGAAATGATGTCAAAAACTCGTGTTTTGGTCGATTTTACACATGAAAAGTCTTAGCTTTCAGAATATGGAACTTTTATCGCCATGTTCAGAAGAAAAATACGTGTTTTAAGCTTGTAAAGACAGTATGACAACTTCAGCGATCACCGTCTCCTTTGAAAATCAACTTTAAAATTATTTTGATAATAGTTTCAAAAGTAATATTTAATTATAATGCAGAAATGTCACCTCTTAAAGCCCGCATGTTTCCTTATTTATCTGTTTTATATCATATTAAAAAGTATATCTCTGATCTAGTGTTGGTGCTATGCCCCCAAAATATTAAGCCTTGAGCCCCCTTTTTAAATAACTATGGCTAAAAACAAAGTCAGCTAACTTTGAAGGACAACAACAGTAAGGACACCGTGGGAAAGCTGAGAATCTCCTCTTTTAAACACTGTGTGTAACAATGTGTTTTGCGGTCGATGAGAATGAGAGCAGGTCACATTCACCAAACGTTAGCATGACTTAATGCCTCATTAGCATATTTAAGTCAGAAGAGTGGGGAAGTTTGATTGTGATATCCGTTTGGTTTAATGTCTCTTCACCTGTAGTGTCTCACCTTTGCTACCTGTTACGTGGTGTATTGATCTACTTTGTGCGTTGGTAAAACTGCACCACAGCTTTCTCCTGCTCGTTGGTCTCGATTGATCCACTTCTTAATCTCCGGATCTCGTTGATGGCGTCGATGCCCGACATCTTCCGGGTCTTCACCAGGTAGCAGGCGAGCATCGTGCCCGTCCTCCCGTGGCCGTGCATGCAGTGCACCGCCACGCCCTGCAGGGGAAAAAACAACATGTGTTTGGATATTATTTTTGAATATAGTCAAATTTACAAAAAATAAATAAATGTAAGACTAAAGAACGTTATATTCTCTGAGATTATAAAGTCATACATTTGGGGAAAAAATAGACTTTCTCTAAGATTTGAGTCAAGATAAACTTTTTCTAGGTGGATCCAACATGGGAAGTGAATGTTCTTTTTATTTTAAAAAGACTGACTAAAAACCAACTTTTGATTAATCCACTTTGGAGAAGCAAGGTTTTTCCATTCACTGTTCCAGGAGTTTAATCAAAGTCACGTTCCCTTGATGCCAAAAGTTTTAGGTTTCAGTTCTTGGACTTAAACCTGGTTGGAGCTGAAAACACTTAAAAAACATAACCATCCATCACATCTCTGCTCTCACCTCCCCCTTGGCGTTGGCCTCCTCCACGATGGAGAGGAATCTGTCGATCTGAGCGGGAGACGGAGGAGTGAAGTCCTGGATCTTGATGTGGTGCAGCTGCAGCTCCGGACAGGTGTCGTGGTTCGGGGGTTTCGTCTCACACAGACACACCAGGTGTTTGATGTTGTTCTCCAGCAGGTAGCGGTACTCACCTGGCATCCTGGGCAGCGCCAGGCCGGCCACTTTATCCTGATCCACCCAGGAGAAGTTGTGAGGAGCAGACGCCATGACTGTCAGACTGAGAAGAGGAGGGAGGATAATTTACACCAAAACGTTATTAATAAATATGATTTACACCTAATAAAACCGAGGAAATATGCAAAGAGAAGTTGGCATAAAAAACGGATTCTCACTGTCTTAAAGCACACATGGAAAATAAAAAAGCAGCATGTGTGCTCAGGGTATTTGTTAAAGCTGCTAATAATTGTATCTAGCTTTGACGTTTTATAAGATCACATAATACTAATAATGTGTTAACATAAACACAGTTAGAGAAGATACATTGAAAGAAAAACAACACAAATTATTATAAAAAGTTATTATAACAGTAAAATATAGAGCAATATGAACATGAAATATGGATATACCAAAAAACTACGTATAGTATAATATGACAATATCAATATATATATATACATATAAATGTGAAGTGATATTATGAAAGCCGTGCCGATATTAAAAGAGGTAGGCCATCTTAAGTGCATTACTTGAGTAAATGTAGTCAGCTACATTCCACCACTGCACAGGCCTGATGTGAAAATAAGCTTCACCAAACTACACATAGTTTACAGGAACCTTTTAAGAATAATAAAATAGCATTTAGCTTAAAGTTAGCTAAAGTTTCGAGACACTTAGCTCGGCTGACTGACAGAAGCCACACCGGCTAACATGCTAACCAAGCAAACGGTAGCCTCAGTGAAGCCATTCATTGTCTCTTTAGCATTAAACTACACAACCACATTAATGCGAGTCTCTTTCAAACTAACCACACCCTTACTCACCGTTTTCACTGAGAAGAATGGAGGTTGCGCTAAGTGTGAAGCCGGGTGCTAACAAGCTAAGCTAACTGCTCTATGCTAAATGAGACAAACAGGAAATTAGCTTAAGCATGCTAACTGCCACAGTAGACATTCGTTACACAACAAACCGGTGCCCTTTAACCCGAGGTAGCATTTCAGCTGTTATAATAGACAAACTATGCAACTGATGTTCGTGGTGAAATATTTACAGAGACCCGGAAGACAGCCGCAACATGTCAGGATGGCCGAGCGGTCTAAGGCGCTGCGTTCAGGTCGCAGTCTCCTCTGGAGGCGTGGGTTCGAATCCCACTTCTGACAATAACCTTTTCTTTGTCACCGAAACACAGTAAAACATGTTGTGGTGTTTATTTTACGTGTAAAATTGGGGTATATTCATAGGTCCCGGATAGATATCCTCGTGGATTCATCTTCCTATTATACACACATGCATTTCCAAACATTTGGACTACCTCTGTTGCAAATGTATTATCTTTTCAATTTACACACGGCATCTATTGCACGTCTGTCCGTCCTGGGAGAGGGATCCCTCCTCTGTTGCTCTCCCTGAGGTTTCTCCCATTTTTCCCTTTAAACTGTGGGTTTTCTCCGGAAGTTTTTCCTTGTACGATGTGAGGGTCTAAGGACAGAGGGTGTCGTATTGTCATACTGATATTTTGTACAAACTGTAAAGTCCACTGAGACAAATGTAACATTTGTGATATTGGGCTATATAAATAAACATTGATTGATTGATTGATAGTTTAACTACACTGTACACGTGAAAGCCACATTAGAGATGAGAGTTAAAATTAGCAATAGCAATACAACTCTGTGCAGGACATTAGTTTCATGTGCCGTGTTCAAATTATCATTCCTATCAAATTAATGTATGTAAGGTGTGTAGAATCATCAAAAATGTCAATAAGGAAACACATAAATATGTTAGTCTTTACTAATAATGTCAGATAAACATGAAGTGCAATTGCATGCGATATACTGCAGAGGGCGTAACAAGCCCTGCAAAAGAAACTGAACCATAAAAGCTCTATCTGGAAAGAAAACACAGTAACACTCTTGTATTGCAACCACATCAAAACCAGAACATTATGTTTTTAATTCTAGGGGAGAGTACAATGTTTTCAAAGATTCCAAATACTGTTTGTTTTGGTGAACAAAAACAGTTTAAGAAAGTTATAGTTTGTTTGTGGTAAGGTTTTTGTGTTAGTGTAAGTATACAACTTCAATTAAGAATTTCAAAATGCAAATACTGAATATTTATGTGCTAGTGTCAGCGTTTATCCCTTTATAAATGATAAGAAATATATAGTAGACTATTAGGGCCCTCTTGGGTAAAACGTTGCATTATAATGAGGGAGCTTGGCAAGCTTAACGTTTCCTAGATGAATATAAACAATTATATAGAAAACTGAATATTCTCTGATATTAAAGAGAGTGATTTGGTGCTTTTCATTTCCCCCAACCAGATTTGAGTTTCCGATACTTAGATCTAACCGACGACCTTATGCTCACAAGGATTAGAAAGATCTACAAAATGCACAAAAATGTATATATATATATATATACATATAAATAATCTAAAGCAAGCAGTATCACAGGATGCTCGTCCATAAACACAACAGCAGCAAAATGTCAATCGCTACGAAACTACAATCGGTCATGAAAATAAGACAAAATGGCTGATCACCCAATTAAGGTTCAACAGGCACACCCAAAGTCCTAGACAAAAAAAAAAAAACCGGGCAAAAACACATATATAAGGCACATATAGCCACCACTAAACTAATAGCGAATACACGGTGCAAAAACATATATTAAACTTACCAAAGATCCGTTCGAAAAGGGAAAAGTCCTTATCCATTTTCTGCCGTTTAAAATAGTTCAAGGACACAATAAAAGCTGCACATTTTGATCAGTTTCTTCGGGCATTGCGCATTAAAACGAACAGAAAGCTACACAGTCTCTAAACTACATTTAAAACGTCTTGAAAAAAAGTTTAAATAATTATAAAACCGTGAACTTTGTTTAAGCTAATCATGTGCTAACAGCTAACCAGTTTAACCTGAATTAACTGCCGTTCTGATCACGCGCTGATCACGCCACACCGAAGAATAATCACGCAGGCTGCTCGGTCAGCCATTGGCTCCGGCGTGTCAATGGTTACGCCCATCATGGCAACCTCGAAGCCGATTGGTTAAGAGGGGATATTTTACCTAGCAACAACACAGGGTGGAGATCTGATTGGATAAAAACTCAAATGTTGATGAGTTCCTTCAAAATCAGCACGTGAAGGCTGAAAGTAGCAACATGTGTGTTTAATTATATTAAATATAATCTTATGAAAAAATTAACACTGTTTTCCCAAGCCTTTCCCTGTAAATGTGTGACTTTTTATCCGTTTAATATATATATTCTCTTTCATAAATGTATTATTTTTTAAATGAAATGTATTTGTTTTTTTTGTCACAAATGTATGAGAGAATATCCATGTTTTTGTACTTACACATTTACAACCTTAATATCTGAATCTTTTTTCTGAATCTTAATTCTATTTCGCATTGTCCCTAATATGTGGTTGTAGAAACACAAGGAAATATTTGTACAGTTTTTAAGTGTGCTGCATATACATAATTATTATCATCAAAACCAAATCTTTACCCAAATATCTGATACCTCTTATCATCTAATTAGCATATCTGTTATTCCTCAATGCAATTCTTCAACTTGTCCCCAGCTTTATTTATATGTGAGAGATGTCCTTGTTGAGTCGTCTTGAATCATTCTGGTTTTTAATAAGTTTTGGCACTTCCACATGGAGCCTGTTTCATACAATCTCCACATGAAAGGAAAAAGAGAAGTTTGTCCATTTCATGCAGAAAGTTAAAGATACAAACACAAACATCCAGACCTCACAGCACAGCACAATTTACTTGCTAGTCAGTTTTATACAAACAGTAGAAAGAGGGTTTTGTTTCTAAGGGAGACAAACTGCATCACATTTTGCCAGATAGATGTCGATATACACGAAGAAGAAGAAAAACAAATGTTTTCCATTAAAAAAGCTTCCACTAACCTGTTGTAAAAACAAAAAACATCTGTTTCACGTACAGTTATAGAAAGATATCTATAGGTAAACGTAAAAAAACATGGCGGCGTGTAGTGGTGTTTTAGTTAGCCACCGACAACAAAACAGAAACATTTGGAAGTCCAGAAAAAGAACCACGATATATATTTATTCTTATTTTATCTATTTTTTGTACACATCACAACCTGAAGACTCAGTAGGCTGTCCATCATCGTCATCATCTTCCTCTTTGTGTCATCTAAAAGCACAGACCCTTCAACATGCTGCAACAACACCCCTCAAAAAACCACAATCACAACCCTTTAACGTTACATGTAAACTCTTAAGGTGCCGCTCGAGAACAGGAGGGGGGGGGGGCAGTGAACGCCTCGCCCTCCTACTAGAAGATTTCTACGTTATTCTGAACGTCCACGTTCAAAAGTCCCACGAGTGACCGGGTTTTACAGGATGGCACAGAAGAACTTCTTCTCCCGGAACGGGTTCTCCGAGGCGGGAACCGGCGACAGCAGAGGGTCTTCTTTGGCGTGAGCTTCGCAGTACGACATCAGGTCCGCCGCCGCTTTAGACACCTTTGGGGGGAAAAAACATTAAACAAGTCAGCTGGATCATCTAGATAAAGATCAATTATCAATTACTTTTCCTGGGATTTTCTAAATGTTTCCTTTTTTTCTCAGAATGTTTTTTTTATTTGACTTTTTTTCTAAAATGTACATTTCTTTCTCAGAATTAACTGTTTCCTCTAAACTCTGACTTTTTCTCCCAAAAATTCGGACGTTTTTGACATCATGAAATTTTTTTAAATGTCATGACTCTTTATCTTATAATTCTGATTAGAGAATACCAAAACATATTCTAATTCCTTACAGTAGTTTATTCACATATTACTTTTCAACGTTAACCGTTGAGGCATGAGAGAATGAAAAGTAACTGATATACAGAGGATGTTATTGGGGGTGAAGTTTCCCTTTTTTAAGCAAAATAATGTTCATAGCTGATGTGTGTGTGTCACCTTTATCCTGTCGATGTTGGCCTCCATCTTCAGCTGCTCCACCAGCTTCCTGGCCTGAGCGATGCTCGCCGTGTTGTTGCTCGCCATGAGCGCCTCGGTGTGATTCCTTTTCTCTGCCTATAGACACAGAAATACACCCCGGAAAATCAGTCAGCATTATGAGTCCAAAAAAACAAGAAATTAGTCATCAACATTGAGTTCTAAAACACTCAAATGAGTTAGCATTATGAGTCTCAAAATGTTATAATGAGTCAGTGTAATGAGTGCTAAAACCCGGAAATGAGTCCTGAAACCCTGAAGTAATTTGACCTTATGGGTCCTAAAATCTAAATATTAGTCAGCATTATGCGTCCTCAAACCCTGACATGAATAAGCATTATACATAGGTACTAAAACACTCAAATTAGTCAGCCTTATGATTCCTAAAATAAAAAAATGAATGAACTTTCACAGATGTTATGTTTGCATTAAACTGAAATGCAATGGAGAATTTATGCTAACTTCAGGAAAAACTACACAAAGGTTTCTATTATTTATTCAAGTTCACCCCCAGTGTGACACTGACAGAGACCAGCAGCACTATACGCTTGTAAAGAGGAAACACACACTTGCAAACACACACACACACACACACACACACACACACACACACACACACACACACACACACACACACACACACTATTTATGCTGTCAGTTGCTAGGCAGCTTGTGACAATGGGGGTGCAGTTCTTTGTCCAGCACCATATTTAATGTATAAAGCATACATTGCTAACTCACATCAGTTAAAGAGAACTCGAACTCTGAACAGGTGACTGGGGTAACCTGTCCCCAGTCGGTTCCAGGTGTGTGTCCTCATGTGCTCTGTGTCTGTCTTTGATTAAATGGATAAAGTGTGTGTGTGTGCACAGTGTGTGTGACTCAGCGTGAGTTCAGGTAAATGAAGCCGAGCTCAGCGTGAATATTGAAGCTTCACGCTGACTCACCTGCTGCTGCACTGATCACCTGAACATCGTTTACCTGCACAGCTACACCTGTTTCATTTTATAATTATATATATATATTAGTGTCTGTCAACAGATTGTCTGACAAAAAAAACAATACAACATAATATTTTTTCCAGTAGAGAAACTATATACTGATATACAACTGAACATCAGCAGGAGAGGACTCTTTAAAGTAGAGACACTACATACTGATATACACCTGAACATCAACAGGAGAGGACTCTTTAAAGTAGAGACACTACATACTGATATACACCTGAACATCAGCAGGAGAGGACTCTTTAAAGTAGAGACACTACATACTGATATACACCTGAACATCAGCAGGAGAGGACTCTTTAAAGTAGAGACACTACATACTGATATACACCTGAACATCAGCAGGAGAGGACTCTTTAAAGTAGAGACACTACATACTGATATACACCTGAACATCAGCAGGAGAGGACTCTTTAAAGTAGAGACACTACATACTGATATACACCTGAACATCAGCAGGAGAGGACTCTTTAAAGTAGAGAAACTATATACTGATATACAACTGAACATCAGCAGGAGAGGACTCTTTAAAGTAGAGACACTACATACTGATATACAACTGAACATCAGCAGGAGAGGACTCTTTAAAGTAGAGACACTACATACTGATATACACCTGAACATCAGCAGGAGAGGACTCTTTAAAGTAGAGACATTACATACTGATATACACCTGAACATCAGCAGGAGAGGACTCTTTAAAGTAGAGACACTACATACTGATATACACCTGAACATCAGCAGGAGAGGACTCTTTAAAGTAGAGACACTACATACTGATATACACCCGAACATCAGCAGGAGAGGACTCTTTAAAGTAGAGACACTACATACTGATATACACCTGAACATCAGCAGGAGAGGACTCTTTAAAGTAGAGACACTACATACTGATATACACCTGAACATCAGCAGGAGAGGACTCTTTAAAGTAGAGACACTACATACTGATATACACCTGAACATCAGCAGGAGAGGACTCTTTAAAGTAGAGACACTACATACTGATATACACCTGAACATCAGCAGGAGAGGACTCTTTAAAGTAGAGACACTACATACTGATATACACCTGAACATCAGCAGGAGAGGACTCTTTAAAGTAGAGACACTACATACTGATATACACCTGAACATCAACAGGAGAGGACTCTTTAAAGTAGAGAAACTATATACTGATATACAACTGAACATCAGCAGGAGAGGACTCTTTAAAGTAGAGACACTACATACTGATATACAACTGAACATCAGCAGGAGAGGACTCTTTAAAGTAGAGACACTACATACTGATATACACCTGAACATCAGCAGGAGAGGACTCTTTAAAGTAGAGAAACTACATACTGATATAAACCTGGTCATCAGCAGGAGAGGACTCTTTAAAGTAGAGACACTACATACTGATATACACCTGAACATCAGCAGGAGAGGACTCTTTAAAGTAGAGACACTACATACTGATATACACCTGAACATCAGCAGGAGAGGACTCTTTAAAGTAGAGACACTACATACTGATATAAACCTGGTCATCAGCAGGATATCGTTTTTCTACATTAATACATAGCTTTGACATACAGCATGAGAGGTAATAGACCCGCATACCATTCCTTGTCATTTTATCTTCAGTATTTATTTAATTCACACGTTTTTAGGAGACCTGTTCTCCGGGGCGGTCTGGATAATCTCGACCTGTCAGAGCGAGCAGTGTAAGGATTTTAAGAGCTGTGAATGTTAACAGAGTCAAATAAATATTATGATTGAAAGTAATCCTGGTTGTTCTCGATGTATAGATGTATTTTTTCCTCTAAGGTTCAGGTTCAGGTTATTTATTGGACATTTTACTTGGATTTTTTGGACATGTTAGTAATATTTTAGAAAGATTTTTCCGAAAGATTTTCCTGAAAGATTTATAAATATTTCAAAAAACCTTTTCTGACATTTTAAAATAAATTTGTGGCTTGTACAATTATTATTATTATTTTTTTTTATGTTCTGAGATTTTTATATATCTCTCACATTTTACTTATTTGGACATTTTATTAAGACATTTTGAACATTTTAGCGATACCAATAGTAACATTTCTACTACATTTTGTGGTAATTTAAGTAATAATTGTTGTATCATATTAGTAACACTTGTAACTGTAGTTGGAGTAAAACTGAACAATGTGGAGGAGGTGTTGGAGGAGAGGACGAGGAAGACGAGGAGGAAGCACAACCAAGTAACCATGTAACCCATGAAAAGTAACCCGTACTACATATACATACAATCTGCACAGTTTTGTACTTGTTTGCACAAATACCTGCACTGACATGTAAATATATCTAACAATCTGAACCCAAATA